GCCATATATCGTGAAGATATATAAACCATATTAAAAGTTAGTAGTAGTTAGTACAAAGAAGTCATGTGGTTGGTCAAATTGATAGAGCCCATGTTGAGAGAGTTAAGAGTCTACTGAAAGACTGCCATATATCGTGAAGATATATAAACCATATTAAAAGTTAGTAGTAGTTAGTACAAAGAGGTCATGTGGTTGGTCAAATTGATAGAGCCCATGTTGAGAGAGTTAAGAGTCTACTGAAAGACTGCCATATATCGTGAAGATATATAAGCTATACTAAAAGTTAGTAGTAGTTAGTACAAAGAGGTCATGTGGTTGGTCAAATTGATAGAGCCCATGTTGAGAGAGTTAAGAGTCTACTGAAAGACTGCCATATATCGTGAAGATATATAAGCTATATTAAAAGTTAGTAGTATTTAGTACAATGAGGTCATGTGGTTGGTCAAATTGATAGAGCCCATGTTGAGAGAGTTAAGAGACTAGGAGTCTTTACATAATGCCCCTTATCTTCCTTTTTTTTTTTTAAATGCAGAAATCATATTTACAAAGCAAAAAATAATATATAATTTTTTTTGTATATGTTTATAATAGCAAAAACAGTCATTTGGATTAAAAATAAGAATAAATATAAAGATTAATAAATAATATGAAAATGAAGTAGAAACTGAACTAAAAAAAAAACTTCTTACTAATATTTGTTACATGTAGCTAAGTTTGGGTTACTGATGACTGTAATCTACCCTTAAGATTGTCCTAAATTAAAAATGTATTTTCAATAACACTTACCTCCACTAACACTTATAGCTATTACCTGACCTCAAGGGTTTTTTCTCTGCCCATCTAAGCATTGGTCTGATTTTTTTCTCACTTGTTCCTGTCATTTATACCCCACTCAATTGCCCTTGGCAATATTTGTCTCATGAAACTTTCCACCTAAGTCAATGTGCCCTCTATTCTGATACTGTATATAAGCACCTCATTCAGATAATTTATCACTTTTTCAAAATGAACACCATCCCAGTTTCTAACACCGGCTTTTAGTTGGAACAAAGGGTGGGAGAGCATAACTTCCGAAACACACTTATCTCTACAGACACTTGTAGCCAGAATCCCACAATGAGAAAGTGGAGGGGACAGTGATTGCAATATCCATATAATGCAGAACATGCAAAACAGATAAGCTTTTTATCCTGAAATCAGTTCTTGTATTAAGGGTGGCATTGAACATATGTGATCAACACTATAGGGCAGCCCCAACCAGATAGCCAAGGTTCCACTACTCAGTGTTGGAATTAAAGGGTCTTTGTTCATATACCCCACATTGGTGGCTAGGACAATTGGACCACAACATCACATAGATATATATTATTAACTAAATCTGTAGCCATACAGTGATGTATTGCAAACCACCAGAATTATGGCGAGAATTTAAGCAACACTGAAGTGGACAAACCTTCTCCTCTTCCACCTTATGAAGCCTGAAAGGCAACACCCCAAGCTCGAAATGATGGGATTATTTATGCCTTACTCAACCAAAGGAACAGAACTCCTGGAATTATGAACATTCATCCTCACTCCCCAACTGAGTAGGCAAGGAATATTCCATTTTCTTCCAGAATTATGGGGAGGACATGGAACAATTGTGCTCAACCAAGGACTTATGATATGACTTTGCATTCGGAATGATGAGGAGCCAGTGGACTCCCTTCTATTAACACTGTATTGAACTGAAATTGATCAAAAAGGGCTATGCACAACCCAACTGGATAGCCGAGCATCAAATCTAAACCATTATTATGAGTAGGCTTGCTTGTAGGTTGGCGCTGCTCCTACCAACATATGGAAAAAAATATCCAGAGACCCAGGTAGGAGGGCCCCCCAACCTCATCCTTTTTTTCCAAGAGTGGAAGAATCTGCTCTAAAACCCTGGAGGAAAAGCCTCTGTCCACCACTCCAGTGACTGGAAACTGGGTGTGATAAGAACTCTCTAGTAGAATCTGGAGTGTAATACGTGTTGGGGAGTCCTGAGAAAAAGTGTTCTGGAAACAGTGCAATAGGTGAACCAAGTTCTCTAAATTTTTAAAACAAACCGACCCTGGTTTATTCAATTCAATGATCAGCAGGGATGAGCAGAATCCCCTTTAGCTTTACTCATGATAGTCCATGAGTGACAGCAGGCATAGTATGGTAATATCACCTGGAGAGCTCCTGGGTGATCTTATGGAATATCTCATATCTACAGAGCCTGATGCAACCGGTAGTACGTATACTGAAAAATTGGTTGAGTGCAGAATTGGATAGATCAAAGCACCTGCCTAGGCAAGACTTGCCATAGAGTAAGATCCAATGGAAAAAAAAAGAAAAAGAGACGAGAGGAGGAAAAAAAAACTACATTCCTTCTTATAATGTAGTAGATGTGCTAAAAACAACCACAGTGTGTAGACGAAAACCCTCAGAAGAAGAAACTGCCAGGTTCTGTAAACAGTGTGAAAGAAAAGCATTGGGAGAAATACACATACCATCCTGCACAATGTCCTCCAGCAGGTAATTCAATCACACAGCCAAAGACATAGGAATGTGACAATTCTGACAAACAATATGGATCAATTTGCAAAGCCATCTCCCTCAAGGTAATTGGGGATAAATCAAGAAACTGAAGCATCTCAATGAATAAAGAGATGACTTTTAGCACCTCGAAAACAGTTAGTGAGAGTCACATAACAACTCAGGGCCCTGACGGGACATAACAAATTATGTTATGTAAAATAGGTCTGAGCAGTCGTAGAGGTGAGAAATAGCTGGCAAATAAATTGGTGAAAAAGATTTATTCCCTTCCCTGGCTGCAAGAGTCTTAGGAAGGAAGGACCTATCAGGGTATAGCAGAACATAAGTGCAAACATCTCCAACCTACAACGTCCACATGCCATTAGCAACAAAAAATACTTTAAGGAAAAGGTGATACAAAGTACATGAGGCTAAATGG